AACCGGCTGGCGAGGGACCCGCCAGGAAATAAAGATGGATGCATCATCCGAAAGCTATGGCTCCTTTGCGATTTATAAATCAACACATGAGCACTCAAAAGAAACGAAACGTGATGCCAATATTCAACAATTTACAACATTCCAGTTTTCTATACAAGACGCCAAAGAACTAGGCTAGTAATTTTATCGCCTTCACTAGCGAAGTGAAGAACTAGATTCGGATACGACGGAGGATCGAAGGTCTCGCCGGCGGCCGACGCGCCATGTTTTCATGAGTGTGAAAGTAGGGGCGCGGACCAGGCGAAGAGAAGGCAGCCACGGCTATGCAAGATCAGGGAGGCTACGATTTGTGCTTGATCGGGAAATCAAAAGAAATTAGTTGGCCCAAAGAATTCATCAAGAGTACGCTTAGATGAAAGAGACAAAAAGACCAAAGTACCCTCTCACAGGAACGGTCAGATCTAGTTTGTATTCCCAGCCCTGCCTATGAAGTACCAGGGTACCCTAAAAAACCTCTACTTCTATGGTGGAACATGGTAGCAATACATGAACATTTATGAACGTATCATGTATGTATAAGTCTTACAAATGTTGTCTACAGTCCAACCATGATTGCATACCCTCCTTAAGACTAGGCCTGGTTTTCTTGATTACCATGGCAAAATGTTCCTTGAAGCTATTAATACAGTATTCTAGATTTCTTTGCTTGTGGTCAAATATTATACTATTTCTATGCTTCCATATGCTCCTACATGCAGTGATACGCATTCTTTGAAACATTGAATTGGCATTCTATCTTTGGCTTCCATCAGCATATCAACCATGGCATTCCATTAAAACCAAGTGCAATCCAGAAGTTCTGACTAAGGGCTTCTTTGATTCAAAGGAATTTTATAGGATTTCTGGAGGATTGAAATCCTTAGTATTTTTTCCTATATTGGTCCTTTGATTCATAGAATTGGATCCCATAAGAATTTTTTCTATGGAATCTTGTGTACTATATTCAATAGGAAATTTAACATCCACTCCAACCTCTTTTTACAATTCCTTTGTTTTTCTCGTGGCATCAAACAATCATTGCTAATTCTATAGGATTCAAATGGGCATGCCACTCCAACCCTACACTTTTTCTATTCCTACACTTTTCCTATTCCTACGTTTTCAAAATCCTACGAATCAAAGAGGCCCTAAAGTCACATAAAAAGAAAAGGTGGATGTAATCTTCATTAGGTTCATCATCACACATAAACACATTTGTTATTCTCAACATAGAAATTCTTTCTGTTTAGTAGACCCCTTGTGTTCAATCTGTCTTAAAGGAGAAGCCAAAAAAATAAGGATATCTATTTAGAGAGACAGCTTGATTTCCATATCCAATGAAATGCATGTACAATAGCCATGCAGATTTTTAAAATTTTACCACATCCTTGTAAAGTTTAATAGTTTAACTTGAATATCAAAACCAGGCAATTGTAAAACAAAGCATTTGACGGCAGGAATGTCAAAAACCATTGTGTATAAACATCCTCAACATTTTTAAGAACAATTGATACCACAAACTGACTTGTGCACTTCACCATATATAACATATGCATCTGGTATGCTGCACATAATGAAAGCAACCGCCATGCTTAAATAAATTAAATTATATGCAAGAATATGAACAAGTTAATCAGCACAAATATGTTTATACATTTCAGAAATACACCCTCAGCTATGATAATTTAATCCAGCCAGGATAACGCGTGTATATATACATGAGATAGTGCTCTGATTGCCAACAAGAATATTGTACTTTGGCAGAAAAGAACCATAAAAACAAATCCATGTAATCTTCAGCTTGTTTACTGTGCACTGAGTAGCTGATCAACTGATAAACCAGGCTGCTTCGAGAAGACAATAGCGCCGTCTACAGTGCCAACTTTGTACCTGAGCATATTGTCATCCGTGACGATCCTGCATGATCCCCGCGACTCGGAATGCATGCTGATGCCAAGATAGTGGATATGGTCTTGCACGCTATTTCCACTGACAGACCTGAATAGAAGAGCAATGTTAGGGTGAAAGAACATCAGCTGGCAAAGAGTTCACAAAGGACAGAATGTTAAAACGTGAGAGCGGAAAGGACCTGCTGCAAGTGGGTTCTTCACCAGAATCGTCACAGATTTGCTCGATCGGGTATACTAGGCTATCGAGCCCAATATGGTGGCTAAAATCAGAAGCATGTCGTACTTTTCAGGATAGACAAAAACAGACGCTAGTACTACTTATGCTTGATGCCACTGTTCAGATATACAGAAGGTGTACTGTCCACACATGAACAAAGATAGTTACATCTGCCTCGTCTAAGATTTTTGTATTCAGAAGAACAGCACGGAAATCAAATTATACTATCACTGAGGTTCTTGATTCGCCCACACTTGCTGTCATTCCCAACAAAATATTAGCAACAACTAGTCTGTCAAATGTAAAGAGAGTTCAGGCTGAGAATTGTGCAGTAATTATGTAGTACTAGATAGGCAGTGCAGCTTGCCGCACCGCACCCACCCGGTCCAGTTTCATCCAGGCCGGTAGCATACACATGATGCAAAGGTAGAGTAACAACAAACACATAAAAGGAATTATTGAGACCATTGACTCAACATTAGGATTTCTCAAAGAAACATGAGGAAGCAAACAATTACTAATAGTAGTAGTTCAATTGATTACATCTTTTGAGCATGTCACTAAAAATGCAGTATGATATAACTAAAGACAGATATTCATGTGCCAGTTCAGCAAGAGGTAGACACACTGGCCATGCAGCTTCTGATAGTGACGATTCCTATTAGAGGTTCATATAATGTAGCATCAGACACCTAAAGCATCGTTGTTCATATACCAAAAGCAGGCCATAGTGGTTATCACAGCTAACTTATTTACACTGCTTTCATACTGCATAGTACAATAGTAAACTAAACCTACAAATCTGTAGCGACAACTGATCATTCGGCAGCAAATCCCTATCAATGGAAAAACTATGTTCAAACTGTTAGCAAAGAATTATGTAAATAATAGAAATGGATTTGTTATATCAATGGAGAGCATGCATAGCATGAAAAAAATGCACATCAGCAAACATAGCACATCAACTGCCATAAGTGAAAACTAAACCTACGGCTCTCTCCGTTGGGTTACTGTTTTTAACAGATCGAATAGTGTAAGCATAGTAGCTCAACCAATGAATGAAAGGATCATCTAGACCAAGGTATGGGATAACTTGCTTCAATCGATACCGGGGGCTTTTACCCTCTTTTTGGGAAAGAAAATAAAAGGTATACTTGCTCGAGGAGGAGGGATAAGAATAAAGATATTCACCTGGCCGCAGTTCCCCCCTTCCCACTGTCTCCACTTCTCTTTCCCAATTAAAAAAAACAAGAACCAAAGGAGGTGGTAACCTGAGAGACCACCAATGCTGGCTGTCATGGGAGGGGGAGGAGCTGAGAAGCATGCCTAAAGAAGCAATTGCATCCAGAGTAGAGACAAAGCCAGCAAGCAAGAACAAAAAGGAGCAATTGCATCAAAGAAAGGTGTTTTTCTTCATGCCATCATTTTTCTTTTCTCACGTACAAGCACAAATCCCATGTCACCACAACGGTTTCATTAACGGAAAAAGCTGGCGACATGAAGAAAATAGTGAAATGCTTTAAGGCAAGTAAATACTTAGGACTTAACGACACCATCACCTCAGTTTTATAGCAGAAACCATTGAGGTGGGAATTTGAGTTAAACATCAGTATAAATTATGGGTTTAGGCCTAATATAAATGCTGGGTTTAAAGGCGGGAGTTGGGGATTTTGTCTCAGCACACAAGAGCATTTTAGGTCCCAGAAACCTCTAGATCAAGTAGAGGAGAGTTCAAGGTGTTCAGGAGTGATAGAGAACATCAACCTACAGTGATGTCCGAGCAGCTCTGTCGTGGCTGCATACTCGAGCTCCAGTGTGCCGTCCAGCGGCAACGCTGCGGCCACTATCTGCATTTCAAAAACCAGAGACCAAAATCAGGGAGATCAGAGTGTCAAGTGATGGGGAAAAATAGGGGAATAGCATCAGCAAAGATGAAGGATTTCAGATCCAGTAGCAAACATAAATCTTCACTCATGTAGCACCACTGAGGAGAGCGACCTGGACCTGGAGGCAGAAAGCAGAGGAGTTGAGGAAGAAGAGATCGTGTGTTGGCAAGGTCTAACTCGGTGCCTGGCTCCGGGTTGAGACAGGGGAGTGAGCTAACATGCACAACTAATAGTACAAGCTCTAAACTGACTCACTAATACATGTGCTTACAACACTAACTAATAGGTTTAAACTGTACAATTACTGCAACGATGTATTTTTCTTCTTAAAAGTCAAGACTCAATTTAGCTTCGGAACATATATACACGAACTGCAAAAGACAAAAAAGGACCAGAAAAGAAACACAGGGAGAAAAACCAATTTAGCTACGAGTATTCAGGCAAACCTCTCCTATGTTCATGTAGATTGATGATGACCTTAATATCATCAAAATCTAATTTCAAAGCACCCGAAATAGTCATTAGTGCCCAACTGAACCTAAGCATTGAAAGGAACTAATGTAGAGGAAACAAAAAAAGAGCAAGTTTATCATCAATAGCTCATATCAGCAGAAAGTATATCATCAATAGCGCAGATAAAAAATCTGGAGGTAGCAATGGCATATACCCATATGAGGGAAAGGGTAGGTTTAGGTACCTGGATGGATTTTACACCTTAGAAGCAGCACCTCTCAATGGTGATCTACTACCTGCAGCAAACACTGTTGATAAGTTGGGAAAAGGAAAAATAATTCAGAAAAGAATTGTGACAGCAATGGATGCTAAACGTCCAAACATCAATTATTTTACAGGCATGGATACACTTCTAACTAAAAGACAGTCATTTCCCTAATTACAATATTACATGTGCGATTCTCCAACGTCATATGTCACACATGCTTTTCCTGATTACAACAGAGGAGAAGCCACGATCGGACTACGCACAACATGTTTTTTGGACACCCAGCTCAAACTTCCCTGCAAGGCCTTTGACCCGACACTGCGATGCCTGCTCACAGTAATGCTGAATGTGTTCTTTTGTCCAACCTTGGAGAAGACCAGCGTCTCTGGGTAGACTCGCACTGTGAGAGACTTGGGAACCTCCATCTTCAGTGTGTATACTGAATTTATTGGCCCCACATTTGTCACGGTTCTGTTCACCGTGAATGGCCTTGACCTGAGTGGCACTGTTATGGATGGGTAGTTCAACTGTGCCTCTGGTATCTTGGGAAGCATTTTGCAGGACAGCGTCGGGTCACGCGCAATGGTTGCCAAGCCTTGATCACCGAGGAGAGCACATATGTAGCCAGCATATTCAGTGATGCTAAGGTCATACACAAGGCCCGGATCAATAGCTTTTATAGGATTGGCATGGCCAGCACCCATGGCATACGCGGTTGCCCTCTGATGCTGCTCGTCCAAGATCGGGCCACCAGCGCTGTCCGTGATATCAGCTGTGGTGAGGATGGCTGACTTGATAGCAGCAGCAGACCAATCAGGATGGGAGCTCTTGACAAGCGCAGCGATTCCACTGACATGTGGAGTCGACATGGATGTCCCTGATCTAATGTTGAATGGCCCAGATCCAAGAATGGTGAGTGGTGGCCATGCAGCAATGATGTTGAGCCCGGGTGCTAATATATCTGGCTTTAGCACACCGGGGCTGAACGTGCTGGGACCGCGGGATGAGAATGCCGCGACAGTGGGAGATGGACGGACACCAAGCACAGTGTTCTTGTATATGACTTTGGCACTGGCTTTGCTTGTTGCCCTTGCATACTCTATGATATCGTTGCCATCAGCCACGGTCACCTGCACAACATCACTGCAATAATCCTCCAGAAGGGTGGTGAAGCCAGCATCTTTCCTGTTGATCAGGACTATGCCAGCCGCCCCGGCACTCATGATGCCACTGATGTCAGACTGGTTGATTGCTGACCCTGTGTCATTCATTGGTCCTGTGTTATGGCAAATCACAATTTTGCCAGACACATTTCTTCCAGCCAATGATGACTTGCAGTGTTTGTTCCAATACAGAGGAGCAAAGTTGGAGCTTGAGTTCGCGGTCTGATTGAAAGCTTCCCCACTGATGTGCTCGCCGTTGCCAAGCTGCACAACGGTCTGGAAGCTTCAGTCCACCGAGCCAGCTGCAACTGTGAGCAACCATGGTGCAGAGTTGGCAATAAAGGACCTTGGCCCGTTGTTACCAGCTGCAGCCACGACAACAACACCCTTTGCTACCGCATTGAATGTGCCAATGGCAACCGGATCATCAGTGAAGTTGACATCAAAAAAGGGGCCGAGGGAGAGTGAAAGCACATCAACACCATCCTTGACGGCTTCATCTAACCCGGCAACTATGTCCGAGGATGCACACCCAAGAATTATGCACACCCTGTACATGGCCAAGTGTGCATGTGGAGCACTGTGCCCCTGCCGAGGCCGTGGGCTGAGGCATGACTGACGAAGTTCCCAGCTGCGGTGGACGAGGTATGTGTTCCATGCCCCGTGTCATCTCCGGAATCATATGCTCTGGGATTACGGAATTTGGCACCTATCAATTTGTTGTTGCAGCGTGCAGCGCCATGGCATGAGCCCTTCCACTTTGATGGGGGTGGCGGGATGCCGCTGTCATCAAAGGAAGGATGCTCTGCGTATATGCCGGTGTCCAGAACCCCGATTATGACTCCTTGGCCATAGTTGGTGTCCCTCCACAGCCCGGCATCTTTCTCCAGTCCGAGGAACTTCGGAGTGTGAGTGGTGCTGGGGTGCCAGAGATGGTCTGGAAACGCTCGCAGAAACTCCTTCCTCTGGGACACCACGGCAAGGTCGTCTTCGGTGAGCCTCACGGCAAACCCCGTGAAGACCTCAGTGTAGGTATGGATGAGGCGTGGCTCATAGGAGCCGGCGAGAGGCGTTGGCAGGAAGGAATCCTGCCACCAGCGGTGGTCGTCCTCGCTGCCGGCTTCGACGGGTGGCCTCAGCAGCACAATGTGTGTGCGATGGCCTGGAGAGAGGCCTGCACCTAGGTCGTCGCATACCGCAGGTGCAGGAGCATGCAGGAGCATGAGGGTGAGCGAGAAAAGTGGGATCATGAGGTTGGCCAAGGATGCCATGGCTTGAGCTGAGGTGGTGGTGATGGAAGAAGCGAGAGGTAGAGAGGACGACGGGGCTGCTGCTGGTGGAAGCACGGCGCAGAGGAGCAAATGCTTCTTCCTCTTTCTCTTGGTGGTGGTGGTGGTGGAAGCACGGAGCAGAGGAGCAAATGCTTCTTCCTCTTTCTCTTGGTGGTGGTGGTGGTGGTGGAAGCACGGTGGAGAGCAGCAAATGCTTCTTCCTCTTTCGCTCACTCTACCTCGGTTGGTTTTGGGAGAGAAAGAAAGGGGGGGAGAGCACAAGCACAGCAATGGCTTCGGGCCTCAACGTTAAATGCTGCGTGCTGAACCTTGCACGCACGCCTAGATGCTCCTGTGCCTATATGTGAGTCAAATCACATTGTTCTGTGCGGTTCCTCTTGGCAGGGAGACACACAAGTGATGCCCTGACACCCCTACATGGCGTAGGGAGACGCTCGTGTCGAGCTTGCGCTGGTCGAGAGAAAGCCTCCGCAAGAGAGAAAAGTTGAGCTTCCATCTATGGAAAAAGAGGAAGCTCCGCTCCTGGTGGGTGGTGGCTGAAGGAAGTGACCAAGGGGAGAGGACGACGCTACGTGTCGACTGTTGCGCTAGCGTGGTTTCAGTTTCAGCTAAATTAAAATCAAAATAGCGGGGCACTAGTCCCTGCAAAGCACACAAGGGCAAGGCTATCCTTCATAGACACTGGTGTGTGTCGAGCTTGCGCTGGTGGAGAGAAAGCCTCCAAACAAAGAAAGGTTCGACCGCGTCAGCACGCAGCTTGCAGAGCTGATGGGGAAAATGGTGGAGGAGGGAACAGAGAAGTGACCCAAAGGGAGAGAGGACAGTGGCGGTGGTGGACTGGTGGTGGGTGCACTGCGAGAGAGAGAGAGAGGCTGAGCTTCCACGATTCCATCTACGGAAAAAGAGGAAGCTATGCTGCTGGTGGGTGGTGGTGAAAGTGGCCGAGAGGACGACGCTGCGTGTCGAGTGTTGCGCTAGCCTGATTTAAGTTTCAGTTGAATTGCAAATTAAAATAGCGGGGCGGGACAAGATGTTTAGCGGAGTTAAACCACAATTAGCGCTTTTTGATGGAAAATTCAGTAGTAAATCAAAGCATCCGGATTTGGAAAAGAGAGGAGGGAGGAGCTCAGCTTGCCTGGCGAATTGGCGATGGATGATCTGGACGAGGCCGGGACTCGCGCATCGTCGCCTTCGTGTTGCGGAAGCGGAAGCAGCCAGCGCCTCCTCGCCGCTGCACAATCCTTACTCCAGCAACTCGCCGGCGCTGCGCCTGCCGACCCCGTGCGCTCCGCCTCGGGCCCTCGGCGACGAAATCCTGCCGCGACCTCTCCGGGCCGGGGGGGCGCTCTGCGTCTTCCGCCCGCGGCTGCCTCGCACTTGCCGCCTCGGGCCCTCGGCGACGAACTCCTGCCGCGGCCTTCGGGCCGGGGCGCCGCCCTGCGTCTCCCGCCGCGGCTGCCTCGCACTTGCCCCCCACGCCTCCGACCCGCTACCTCCCTTCCGCCGCCTGCGGCGTTGAAGTCGCCGTCTCCGCCCATGACTCGGGCCTGGGTGGCTGGAGATTGTCACACCCGATGTGAACACATCATCGGTGGACTAGCGGTGTAAGCATGAATGGAAATTGGATCTGAACCTTCTCATCCCCTCTTCGTCTAGCTCTCACGTAGTACTTCTCTGTTTTCTCCCCAATTCTTCCCCTGTGCGATCGATCCCCTTTCATAGGATTTCCGGTTGTCACAATTGGTATTTAGAGCCTCAATTTTTTTCCTCCGCTGCCAGATCGGTGCCGCCACGCCCATATTCTCTTGGCCAATCGGTAAAATCCACTGCCTCACGTGCGATTTCACTCCGATGAGATCGCCTAAAATCCTGGGCAGAGTTTGATTTGCTCGGAGCAGGTGTCACAGCGTCGTCCAAGCCTTCCGCCCAGACCCGACAGCTCATGGCTGCCGTAGGGGAGGAGACAGCGGGCCTCACGACCCTGATGAAGAAGCTTCTCTCCCGTTTTGAAGAAGAGAAAGTGCGCACCGAGGTGCAGACCGCGTTCAACACCTAGGTGTCACGCGAGTTGCAGAGTTTGACCAAGCAAATCGGCCTTACCCAGGCAAAGGTGGACGATGTGCGCAAGGTGGCTTCCCCATCAGCCTCCTCCTCCCCTTTTCCTAACTTGCAAGTGGGTGATCCGTCTGTGGCAGTGTCGCAGACACCAGGTGCTCGCGAGGGGCCACAGCAGCCACCGCCAGCGACACTGCACAACCCCCGGCAGATCCACGCGCCGCACCACACCCGAGCGCGCTTCCAATACCACAGGTCATCGGGCTGCCCCGCTCGCCAGGCTCGCCAATGACAGGCCACACATGTTGTTCCGGCCGGAGCAACCCGCGCTGGCAGCCCGCGCCTCACAACCAACTCCGCATGAGGAGTACTTTTCCAAGCCGTCGAAGCATCATTTTCCCCGATTTGATGGTGATGCTCCACGCATATGGTTGGACCGCTGCCTAGCATACTTCGAGTTGTCCAGGGTATCGCTGCATAGTTGGGTCACAATAGCAGCGTTGTATGTGGAGGGTCATGCGGCACTGTGGCTTCGAGCATTTCGTCAAACAAATTCAGATAGCACTTGGGATATGTTCAGGCATGCCATGGTGGAGGAATCTGGCCCAGAGGAGTTTGAGTCAACTATGCATAATCTTCTTCAGCTCTGTCAGACAGGAACAGTGGTGGAGTACCGCCAACAGTTTGAGGTACTTATGTACGATTTGATTGCTCTTAACGCGACCCCGAGCTCCAAGTTCTTCGTAACCCAGTTCCTACTAGGCCTTAAGGATGAACTACGCGCCGTTGTGCGCATTCAGGTGCCTACCAGTATTACTAGAGCGACAATGTTTGCTCTGATTCAAGAGGAGGAATTAGAGATTCAACATCCTCGACTTCGTCCATTATCTGTCAGTCGCCCACCTCCAGTGCACAGCCTGCCATCAGCATTTGGGCGACCTCCCCCAACATCAGCAGTGCCACCTGCCGCAGGGACAACACCACGCGCCATTCCTGCGCCCAAGTCAGCTCCGGATGATTTCGGACACGAACGTCAGCTCTGCGACTATAGACGTCAACATGGCCTCTGTTTTCACTGCGGCGACAAGTACTCACGGGAGCACCAGTGCAAGCGATCGGCGCAGCTGCTGACACTTGAAGTGGGGGACTTTGGCGAAGTGCTTTTCAGATGATGTTGTGCAAGCGCTCGAGTTGCTCGATGAACCAGAACCTGCAAATGTTGCATGCTGCCTCTTATCCGCTCACGTTGTCGAGGGTACAGAATCACCAGAAACTATTCGCCTGCGCGCCATCGTGGGAGACCAAACCATGCTGTTGCTTGCCGATTCAGGCAGCACTCACAGCTTCGTCAATGGTGCATTCTCTCAACGCATCAGCGCTTGTACCACGAGTATCCCTGCTAACACTGCCAGAGTCGCCAATGGACAGAACCTGGACTGTACAGCCATGGTACCGTAGCTGAAATGGGCTACACAGGGTCATGAATTTGCCACGGACATGCGTGTCTTGGATCTGGGTGGCTATGATGCAGTGCTGGGCGTGGACTGGCTCGGACAACACAGTCCTATGCAGTGTGATTGGAATCTGAAAACCATGAAATTCCCGCGACAGGGAACAACAGTACACCTAACAGGTGTCCATACCGACGAGCAACACTCTCTCACAGCCTTGGATGCGGCCAGTTTGTGGCAGATGCATGACACGAACGAGATCTCGGAAGCAGCCCTGCTGGAGATTCAGTTCACTCCAACAAGCAGTACATTCCTCGTGCGGTTCAACACATCTTGACAGAATTCAAGGACATTTTTGAGGAACCCACCCAACTTCCCCCTCACAGGCGGTATGATCATGCAATCACCTTAGAAACTAGAGCGTGATTGTCCAAGGTTTTCATTATTTATTGCTTTATGGACTGTTATTTTTCTTTATGATACAATTTTATGCCTTTTCTCTCTTATTTACAAGGTTTTCATGAAGAGGGAGAATGCCGGTAGCTGGAACTCTGGACCAGAAAGGAGCAAATCTGAGATACATATTCTGCATAGCTCCAAATGTCCTAAAACTTTACGAAGAATTATTTTGGAATAAATAATAATGGGCGAAGAAACAACAGAAGGGGACCCACCAGGCAGCCACAAGCCTGGGTCCCCTGGCCAGCCCCCGATGTCCATCTTCTGCTATATGAAAGGTTTTGACCTAGAAAAATAAGAAGGAAGCTTTCGGGACGAAGCACCACCGTCTCGAGGCGGAACCTGGGCAGAAGCAATCTATGGTTCCGGGGGAGTTATTCTGTTGGGGAAACTTCCCTCCGGGAGGGGGAAATTAAAGCCATCGTCATCACCAATGATCCTCTCATCGAGTAATGGTCAATCTTCATCAACATCTTCACCAACACCATCTCCTCTCAAACTCTAGTTCGCCTCTTGTATCCAATCTTTGTCTCAAAACCTTAGATTGGTACCTATGGGTTGCTAATAGTGTTGATTACTCTTTGTAGTTGATGCCAGTTGGTTTCTTCGGTGGAAGATCATATGTCCAGATCCTTAATGATATTCAATCACTACTACAGGATGCTGCTAACGCGACACTACGATCAGAGACCCTTCGAGAAACTGTGTGTGATGCAATAATCGCAAACGATGGTGTATGAAAACCGTCAAAAATGTATAAAATGTTTGCGATGATGGATGCATCAAACACTGTTCAGATTTTAGTTCCGTGTGCGATGAAGGGCATACGGTTCAGTTCAATTAACTATTTGCGATGAGGAGGAACAAAAGAAAAAGCCAGCCAGATGAAGGCGTGTGTGATACACAACATATGATTCACTCGGATGAACTGTTTGTGATTAGGCAACACAAAAGAAACGAGCAGCCAGATGAAGGTGTGTGTGATATATAGCATACGGTTCACTCGGATGAACT